GAGGAGGAGGAGGAGGAGGAGGAGGAGGAGGAGGAGGAAGAGGAGAAGAAGGAGGAGGAGGAAGAGGAGAAAACCCCTTTTAAAATGAGTAGCAGAACATCTAACCATGGGACAGGAGCAGCTCTTGGGACATATGCTCCAGTTTCTTTCCTGAGCAATCAGGAGTGAGTTTCCACTCTCCCAGAGTGAGTGGGGTTCGAGTGGAAGCAGAGGAGTTTCATTTTGAATTCTGAGAGCCTACAGGACCATCGGTTCCACAAAGCATGTATTCAGGGTGTGGAGCTGATGGGCCACCCAGCATGGGATTTGGGGCAAGCTCATCAAGTCCTGGTATTATCGAACATTACACTTTTATTCCTTACTTGATACCACTGAAACACAAATTTTCCATTATCTTATTATTACTCACCAAACGTTCAAGTTCAGTTAACAAAACTACAACTTGAGCTTTTGAGCTTAGGAGAGAATAAGGAATATAACTTTTCATAGTCCTTGAAATATGTTTTGTTGGGTCTTATTTTTTAAACCTCACACCTCAGTATGTTTTCTGACTCTATTTTCATGCAAATTTAGAGAGAATCATTCTGGCAGGCGTTCATTTAAAGCTCCATGTGCATGATTTACCTTCAGTATAGAGGGAGCACTGTTTGACTTTAATAATATGTCTTGAATTATAAAAAATAAATGACTATTTTGGAATACACTTTGAATTTGACAAATGTATCCTATATTTCTAAAAGCTTAAAAAAAAACCGGGAACTATAAAAAGAGAGTCAAGAAATATTTCCATTATTTTTGGTGTGTCATGAATACCTGTGAGTTAAATTTATACCAGCTAATGTATTTATGCTGTATGAGTAGTAATTGTGTGGGATTTATTTCTTCTAGAAGATAAAATTACCTTGATAAGTTTTAATAAGTATAAAATTGAACTGTAGAAAGTATAGCCATTTTTATTTTCTTACAAAATAAACAGCTCATTACATTTGTAAGGGACACATACATGCATACGTCTATAAATGTACATACATATGAATGAATATATACATATATATACAGATATATATATATTCTAATTCTAGTTTATATCCCCCAAGTCAGAATGTTACTCATAGTGAAGTCCCATAGACCCTCAGACTTACAGGATGTTGCCATTGCTCTTGGTTACCTCAGAATCTTGATGGTAAGACCCCGTTGCTAATGTTGGCACATACTTGAGTCTTAACATCAGTCTGGCACCAACCTGGATGCTTCATCCCTACTGGCTATCATCCTAGTGCTGGAAGATACTATGCATGCTACTGGAGCAGAAAAGTATTAACTACTCTTATCCAGCTGTGAGTAACAGGTGCCCTGGCAAAATAATGCCCACTGTTACAACAGCAACAGTGTTATGAGAGTAACCAATCTTTTCTGTTTTGCTTTAAGACAAAACTCATGCCTGGTACCAAAGCTCGGACACTGGGCCAAGAACCTGTGACTGGGTAAATCATAGGCCTGGGAAGAACTTCATAGTTGAAGAACTATTAGCAATCAATGACTGCTGGCAGAGGACATTTTTCTTCACATAAAAAAAGGCTGTGCCCGTGTACTTACTGGAAGTACTAAGTGGGCGTGACAGGAGCTTAAAAAAAAATTAGGGAAGATTAGTGGAATCGTGGTGGAGGGATGGAGTAGGGATTGGAAACAAGGCAATAAGTCATGAGTGTGAATTTGATAATATACTTTCTATAAGGAACATGATTAGCATATATCCTCTGCTTTGGTTTTCCTTTTTTAAACTTTTTATTGGTTCTTTGTGAATTTACCGTCATGCACCCAATTCCACCTATTGCACCTTCCCCTTGTCCTCATTCTCCACGCTTGCAACCTCCCTGCCAATAAAGAAAAAAAAAATGTGGTTGTGGAAGCCGTAGCCTAGCTTCTGGTATGCTCTTCAGTCCTCACTTCTTTGCTTGCAAATATTCTTTACAGTGAGTTTTTGGTCTGTTACAAGGCCTCTGACTTCTGTACATCATCATACTGTAACATCACAGGGACCCTCAGAGAAGCTGGTGTGCCCCGTGTCATGGAGATTGTGTCATTTTGAACCTGTGGGACTCCACAGACTCCAGCCATTCGTTGATGGGGTGGATGTGGAGGTGGGTCAATTCAAAGCCCTGGATTCGGACCTGTGCGCTATCTGAGCAGGTTGTCCCACCAGCAGCCCCATGCCACTAGGGAGAGCTCTCCTGCCCTGCCCCAGGCTGGCCTATCCAATGCCACCAACAGCAAGGGGCAGAGCCAACTTGCCAATATCAGGGCCAGTTCTACCTTGTTCTCCAGGCAAGGTGCAGGACCTGCTCTTCAGAGTGTTGCAGAGTGTAAGGAACATGGTCAGTTCTGCTCTCATGACTCTGGGGCCAGCTCTGCAGCCCGGATTAACCTATGTTATTGTTGGCAAAAAGAAAAAGAAAAAAAAAAACAACTTGGGGAAACACATGTTTGAGGTATTGAGGTGTATATAATTGTGTTCACATGTTCACATGTGTACAGATTCCTAAGTATATGGTGTGGAAGCGAGAGGCTGATGTTCAGTATTTCCTGAGATCTCTCTTTACTTTATTTACTAAGGCTAGGTCTCCTGATGAGCCCAGAGCTCACTGTGTGCTCTGGGAGTCTGAACTCGAGCCCTCATGCTTGCGTAGCGAGTGTGTCCTCTGAAGCATCTCCCCAACCAAGCCCTGAGCATTTTTGTCACTGAAAGTTCTAAAAGAAAGCTTTGTAAATATGTACTTCATGAGGATTAATGATTGCTGGGAACCATGGTGTGTGTTTTTATATTCTATATATTCAGATGTCACTGGACTAAGACTCAATCATTACATTTTTCGAAAGTCTTTTCTAGTCATGCAAACAATGCTGTTGAGTTGGGGATGTGGCTCCGTCAAGTGTGGGGACCTGATTCCAATCCTCCCTAGAATGCGTTGATAGGTGTGTAGGGGCGGAGGGCATGAACCAGACCAACTCTCTACTGAATTCCAAGTTCAGTAGGACTCTGTCTTAAGAAGTCGAGATGGAGAGCAATCCAAGAGAGACACACTTGGTTGAACTTAGGCCTCCACCCTTACACATACTAGTCAATGAGACCATAACATACACATGCAGGTGCACAAATACAGTAACTCAATAAAAATATTTTGAATGTGACGCTAAATGGAAACACAGATTAGGCTACATTTAGTATTTATTGGCTTTGAATTTGCAAATTAAACCTATTAAGAATTCACTAAGATTCTTTTGTATTTAAGCGAATGTTTTATTAAGAAAAAATGAACTTTTTTTTAAATTTTTCATTGTCTTCTTGTCATTTTAGGAGTACCAAAGTCTAGTCTTTTACATACCAAATCCTTGAGAGGCCATAAAGACTGCTTTGAAAAATACCATTTAATAGCAAACCAGGATTGTTCTCGTTCCAAGCTATCCAAAAGTACTTACGAAGAAGTTAAAACCATCCTCAGTAAGAAGATAAACTGGATTGTGCAGTATGCCCAAAATAAAAATCTGGATTTGGATTCCGAGTGTTCCAAAACATCCCAGCATCACCTGTTTAACTTCAGGCATAAGCCAGAGAAAAAATTACTCCCACAGTTTGACTCTCAGGTGCCAAAGTACTCAGCAAAAGGGTTAGCCGGCAACGCAGGCGGCATCTCAAGCTATACGCAAAGAATCCTGGAGCACAGGGAGGATACAGACTTTGGGCTTGGTATATTAGAAGATGCAGATGCATTGTGGACTCACAGTCACAACCAGGCACAGAAAACAGAAGAGACAAGTTCTGGTCCAAAGGGGGATATCCAGACCCAGAATCCACGTTACAGCCGAGAAGAACGTGAGTAGTGTGTGAAGAATAAAGGTGAAGTGTATGTGGTTTGACCTTTTATGGGGGAGGGTTGGGTGGTAGTTGGTTGGGTTTTTTTTTTCTGTGTGTGTGTAGAATTACAATGTAGGATTACAGATTTGGTAAACATAATATTTTAAGTGACAGATTGACCTCAACAAAAGTGAAATGTCTTAAAAATTTCTTTGGATGGTTCTTGAATATATATTATTACACACCAAATTTCATTGCCACCGTCACTTATTTTGCCCTTACTAGTGACCAAATGGAATGGAATCAGCACACTGAATGGAAAGTTCAGGGTTCCTTCTGTTTATGTAACTGGGACTGTCAGTATCCATTGTCATGTTGCTAACCCCTTATATGACTAAATTGGCCAGAGGGGCTCAATTTAAAAACAGACATCTGACCATTTGCTAAAGCCTAAAAGGTAACATGGCTGTTTGCTTTAAGTTTTAAAATGACTTCCTTTGTCTGTACCTTTTCTACAAAATCTTACTAAGGTTATTTTAATTGGCTTAAATTAAATTATTTTAGATCAGAAGGAACCTCGACTGTGTCTTTAGACAAGTTCTTGATTCTTCATGTAAAGGTTGTTTTGCTAGATAGACATTCACAGGACTTTAAAGCCCCATGTCATGATTTAATTAATGTCGAACAAAAGTCAGTGTGAATGAGCAGTGACCAGTACTTCAGAAAACGGAAGTAGGAGAGACCAGAATCCAAAGGGGCCCACTAACTGCCTTTTTTTTTTTCAAACTCTGTTTCCTGTGGAGGATGGAGGTGTTACAGTAGTCATTTATAAATGTGTTTCCTATGAGAATTTTGTGGTTAGAATTTGTTATACTTTAAGAACCAATGAAGGATACCTGGGATTTGGTTGAATGTTGAATTGGGGAATTAACTGCCCGTTCTTTACCTAAGAAACTCGCAGGCTGCTTGCTCTCCAAGGTTGTGTGGTAACAGTTACTGTGTTTTCATGTTGCAGTGAACTCGATGACTCTTGCTGAAGTAGTACAACTGAGTACAAAGCTCCAACAGCAAATCCAGGGTAAAGCCTCAGTCTTAATGCTTGTTATGTGTTTAAAATGTGGATACTGACTCTCTCCCGTGATTGGGCATTATTAGCGTCTGCAGCGTTTAAATTGGGGAATTAGACATTGAGACCTGTTGAGGTTTGTGAGGCAAACAGCAAAGTGGGGGGCGGGGGGCTTCAGGAAAGGTAATCTAAGTAGAATAGAGACTGCATCTAACCTCTGACCTCTGCCTTTGGCCATCATTGACTTCATCAAGGGCCACACACTGCACCGAGCACTCTGGGTCTACACATCCTGACAGTTCCTAGCACTTGTATCAGCCCTGGTTATCTGTATAAACTATGAACCATTTGAAACCCATCAAAAGTAGTGAGATAAATGTGGCGACCACTGCCTGTGGTCATCTGCTGCAACTGTTACTAAAACAGAGCTGTTTTTATCTTATCCCCTGTTTCTATCTCTATAGGCCCACCTCAGCACCCCTACATGGATTATTTTTGAGATCCCTGACAAAACATATTGTTTTGTCCATAAAGGTGTCAGGATTTTCTTTTAAAAAAAAAAATCTGCATTTGTTGTCATTTCTTCCAGCTTCCTTCCATTTAAGTGAAGCAATTAGTTACACATTGGAGACCTTTAAGTCACTTACAGAGATTATGCATTCAGTCAGTAGCAGACTCAAGTGCAAAGCTTTACATACACAGCCTCTGAAGAACATTTAAATTGCACTGATAATCCCACTTCACACTCACTAAGGCCTTATTCTATGCTCTTCACAAATAGGAATTTATTCAACTCTGACAGTGTTTCTGTGAGATGTTCGCCTATATTACTGATCTTACCCGTAAGAGAAAATTCAACTCCAAGGTCTGGATTACTTATCTGAAGAAGGTACACACTTAGCAGTAGGTGCCAGGGTGTTGAAAATCCAGGTAATCTGTTCCAAGTCTCTGAGGAGTCTAGACCTGGATATTCATGAACATTTATGTCATAGGTCAGTATGTCTTGATTGAACCTATTTATAGGTTATAGGGGAGAGAAATGACTCAAGTGGTAGCTACTCTTCCTGTGGTGTATACTTTCTTAACTTGCCCTTGGTGCAGAACACTGGCCATCACAGTTTGCTATTTGAAGTGTGATCAGATGATCAACACTGATAGGCTCAGAAGGAAACAGCTATTTTCCTTGGTATCAAATTCATTTCTTAATCAAATTTACTCAGTGCATTGTACCTGTATTTACTTAAGATGGAGTCATAGCGCTAGCCTTCTGCGCACTAAAAAACAAAACTGCTTTTTTAAACCCTCACAGAAGTTTTTGAAGAGTTAACACACCAGGTGCAAGAAAAAGACTCTCTGTCCTCAGAGCTCCATGTCCGTCACGTGGCTATCGAGCAACTCCTCAAGAACTGTTCCAAGTTACCATGCCTCCAAGTAGGACGGACAGGAACGAGGCCACACCTACCCATGAACAACTGAACGGAGCAAAGCTGCTGAGCTCTATCCTCTGTTGCTCTGCTAAGCATATGTACCTAGAAAACATTGGAAGAAAGTTATGATCCATTTTTATGGTTGTTATACTTGGAAAACATAAGACAATATTCATTATCTTTATCTAATAAAGCAGATCACTCTAGTCCAGGGTTTAATCATTTGGCTTCATTTGGGGACTGTTTCTTATAATTACTAAATGCCCCTCCCTTAAATATACTGTTACAGCGTTTTTATTGACCAATTTTTATTGTAACTCAGCAGTCAAAACAATAGAAACCTAATAAGGTCTTAAGTTAGACTAAACTACTAGAGGTAATTTTTAAGAGGGAAATAGAATTCATAATATCACCTTATTTATGAGCAATATTTTAATATAAAATTTTATATATAAGATTGCTATTTTCGGTATTTTTTCATTGTCTTTATAAATCTGTATTTGAATGGCCATGTGTATTTGCGCTTCATTGTGTGAATACGTCCACCTCTGTGGAGATCACTGCATTTTGGTGATACAGTGTTTTTATAACTGTTGTCTTTCTTTCCAAAGATAAATGTGTTTTGGATAGTATTTGGAGAAGCAGTCTACCTAGTTGAGGTATTTTAACTACTAACAGCATATGAAAGAGCACTTACTGCTCTTTTTAAAGCAAATATATAAGTAAATAAAGCACATTATTGTTTTCTAATGAAAGCAATGCTAAATTAGCTTAGGAAGAAAATACTATTCTAGTTTTTATGTGTCTCCATAAAAGTAGAGGCCCCACCCAGCTTCTTATCTCTCATGACTTTCTTTGATATGTTAGTTTTGGACAAAGTAGGTCAACTGTCTTCAAATTGAACCCGTCCTCCTTTGGGGGGAAAAATAAAATTATGATGTGTGCTACTTCACATGGAGTTCCAATAATCTGTTAACTGTCCAAATTCTGATATCCACATCACTGAAATTCATCCAAAAAATAAAATGAAAAAGAAAGAAGAAAAACTATTTTAAGGTACTTTTCTAAGTTTTAAAATCTAAAGGGATAGAAGACTATAAGACAAAATATTCAAATCAAGAAAAAGCATAATATTATAAGCTACTTTGGTTTCAGATTCTTAACTAATAAGTTATTTCAAGGTGTTAGATACATTTTAATGACAAAATAAAAGCTGTAACTCATCCAAAATTAAGATGATTGTCTTTAGCTGGTGCTTAAGGATGTATTCGTGTGGGTGATATTTTTTGCTTGCAGAAATCTAAGGAAAGAAAGCCCATTGACTTGGCAGCCTCATACATAAAGATGGTTTCTGCCTTGAAGTCATCAGTCTGTATCTGAGCAAGGGTCAGACTTTAATATTGATCGTAAATAATATTTGACTAAGCAGACAACTGCCTCACTATAGAAAAGACACCTTTTCCTAATGCTAGGATGTATTCAACTGGCCTGGCTGTATATGCATTAGTCAGTGTCCCATTGGTTTTGCTTTGTCCTGAAGAAAACTTACCTTTGAAGCTTCTTGGAAGGAGTTTTTGAAAAAGAATATACATATATATATATATATGCTTTTTAGTTTCTCTCAGTTCTTTGAGTCATCCAAAATGAATTTTAAATCCAGAGAGCGGAGTTGAATGCATTGCCTTAGTTTTGATAAGCTATAAATTGAACGTGTACAATATGAAAGGCTCCACATTCACAAGCTGGGTGAAGACGTGTCCTGATTATGCCTGTAAGTGTTTCAGTGCTTGGTTGTTATGGTTACATTTTCCAGTTTGACTGTACTCCTGCCTGGCATAACTCATCAAACATGGCAGCGGCCAGTGTATTGCACACCCTTGGGCTTCTGTCTAGATGATGGAAAGGCAGTAGGGACAGACATAGAAGTATGAGATAGGCAGCATTTGGTATGTGCAGTACTCAGTGTATTTCTATCATAGAAGACCTACAGTGCAGTCCTAAACGAAACCAGTGTTACCCAAAGATGTTTGCTTCTCTCTTTAAGGAGTTCTCTGGCAAACACTTAGTTTCCTAGTGAGCTGGAGATAATTGGGATTTCTCCCATGTGCTCTAAGGTGTTAACTGGGACCTCTGATTCAGTTCTTTTAGATATTTCAAGGGAAACATCAAAGGAATGGTGCTCCTGAGTCTATCTCTGGTGCTGGTAGTAACACTAGTACTCATTCATGAGGGTTTTCCTGGAGTGTACTACTTTGTATAATTTAACTACCAGTTACTTGTTTGTTTGTTTTTTTTTGTTTTTTGGTTTTTTTTTGGTGGTGGTGGTAGTGGTGGTGGTAGTTTGCTTGCTTGCTTGCTTGCTTGCTTGCTTGCTTGCTTGCTTGCTTGCTTGCTTGTTTTAACACAGGGTCTTGCTACATAGCTTTTGCTAGCCTAGAATTGTCTTTGTAGACCAGGCTGCCCTGGAATTCGTAGCAATTCTCCTGCCTCAGGAGGAGATCTAGTGCTGTGATTCGGGTGTATATCCTACTCCTGGTTTGTTATGTGCTCTTGATTGAATATGTACTTATTGTATATGCAAAAATAATGATGGGGACAGAGTTGAGGTCCAATTTAAGGAAATATATGAACTTTCACAAGTACTGATTTCTCTATTTGGTTCTTTCTAAATAGTTGTGTGTTTTGAGAAAGTTCAGAAGAAACTTCACACATGACTTCATTTTTTAAAAACAGCAGGAGATGTGCTGCTAGTGAGCCCGTACATCTCCGAGCTTCTATGAGGAGTGAAGTGAAATTTTGTCATACTGGATTTCATAGTTAAACAAAAGCATATTTTTTTAAATCAGAAGTCAGATGTGATTTTAACATGATTTTTTTTTTCTTTAAAGATTAGTGTTTTTATGTGCCTAGCATCTATCAGGCCCTGGGTTATTAATTCCTGTCACCATAGTAAATACATAATGGTTTTGCCTCTGCTTTTGGTTCTACTATGTCGCCAAGGCTGAGCTTAGCAGCGATTTTAGCACTTCAGCCTTCTGAATGGGGGGGTGGGGAGGAAGGCGGAGGATTGACTACACTGCCATGCCTGGCTTAAATTTTCATATTGTCCATCCTTGTAGCATTTCTCTGGAGATTATCGCCTTATTCTCTTATTAATTTCTAAGTCTGTTCTTTGGAACAGGCATTCACTTGACTCACCATGCTAATGATCTAAACAGTCCATTTGCTTGGTTGTATGGTTCTTCCATGTAGTATTGGAGTAAAGGGAAGCCCTCGTGTTTCCAAGCGCCATGTTTGTTTCCCCCGAGAGAGCCCATTTTTGTAAACATTTAATGATATTTATAAACATTAAATGATTATTTTTCAAAATGTGTGCATGCTGGCAAGTGATTTCGGAAACATGACTGAAGCATAGTCCATCGCCATCTTGATAGGTAGCTTGTGATTTCTCGGGGTCTTGCTATATCCTATGTACCATTGAAAAATGGCTTTTACCTTTTTGTTTATTAAACCTACCTTGGTGTTTATTCTGTTGAAGCCTGTCAGGTTTTTGTTAGTTTTCAAAGTCATCCTTTGGATCTGTATGTGTTACTGTGTACTACTTGAGGTTTCATTTTGTTTCTTTTCACGAGAAATCTGTTTGCTAACATGGTATGGAAGGGGCACGCTCCAAACTTAAGTAGGAATTTTAAAGATCTCACTGGCTTTTTAAAGGGTTCAGATGTGTGACCATGCAAAATAATTACATGGACATGAACTACTTTAATGGTGGAGTATAACATTCCTTTCATCATGTTTTGTTTGGATTGTTTAAAGGAGTTGTTTGTTTGCTTGTTTTACTTTTTGCAAGTTCATTTACTGACAAATGTTACTGTTGGTCACACTACAGCAAGATGTGTGACTCTTTAAAAAACTATGTATAAAAATTTTATGTGCCCACTATGAAGATATGACCCTAAGTCAGAGACTTGATTTGACTTGGATCTGACTCCAGTTTTACCTTGAACAGATTTTTTTTTTTTTCTGAGAAAATGCGTTGTTTTTTCTTTTTTTAATCACTAAAGGACAGAGTCCTGAATAAAATACCCTTGCGAAGTTAAGCTTTGTGGTTCACAAGAGTTTATCTGCTGAAGTAACCAGCAGGGGAAGGCCATGCTGGTCTAAGAAGAGTGTGACCTTTGCCTTTTGTTTCCCTAATTTCATTTGATGCCCCTGCTGATATCAGCCATTGCCTGAGCAACCCCAGGCCGCACTCACCTTGATGGGAACCAATCACTTGGGTGGAGAACGTTAAGATTTTTAACATTTAGTTTGTAAATGTTTTCGCTGATATTTTTAGTTTAAAGCAGGCTCCGTTATAATTATTCACCAATTTCCCCCCCTCCCTCACATTTTAAGTTTACCAAGTGAAGCAAAAATGTCCTGGAGATGGACTTGTTTAAAGCTGCCTGACCTGCCCTTGCTCCCTAGTGTAGCTTGGCTGTTTGGTTTGGTTTGGTTTTCTTTTTCTTTTTCCCACTCTATTGCCTCCAGAAGAGGTGGCTTTAGAAAGTGTTGAGTAGTGATGTGTGTGTGTGTGTGTGTGTGTGTTTGTATGAGAGAGACAGAGACAGAGAGACAGACAGAGAAATGTTGCTTTAAACCTGGCTGCATCTGCAGCAGCCCTTGAACTTTAATCTGTGCTGTTGGAAACGTTTTTTCAACAATTTTGCTGCCATTTAAAAAGCGAAAATGAAACTGCTCTGGTCAAAGCTAAGTTTGTCTCCGAAAAATAACATAATGTTTCTTTGGTCATAGTCTGGGTTATATGCAATTTATATATTTGTATTCTGCTTTGAAACTGTAACTAGATAAGCCTGTCTACGGTTTTTAACTTTACAAGAATAAAACAAATATTTTGGTAGCTATCTCTTAAGCCTCGATTGATTTTCTTACATTTATGTGTTTACTGGAGGCGGGGTACACCAGCCCACATTTGGCTTGTGGAGGTCAGTAGCTTCAAGAGTCAGATCTCTCCTCCTACCATGTGGGACTCAGGGATCAAGCTCAGGTGCTCAGACCTGACAGCAAGCCCCTTTACCTGCTGAGCCATATTTCTAGCCCCAGTCAATGTTAAAAGGGCCAGTTGGCCTGCCTGCCTGCCGTCCCTCCTGCCTGCCTGCCTGCCTTCCTCTCCTCCCTCTCTTCCTCCTCTTCCCCTTCTCTTCCTTCTTCTTTCTTCTTTTTTAATCAAATAGCTTGCCTACCTTGAAACTTATGTATAATCTTACTCTGTCTATCCAGTTAGCTGGGGTTTTTTTTCCCCAAATTGACGTACCAAGAATAAAACTTTAGGGGTCTGGAAAGATGGCTCCATTTTTAGAGTCCTGACTGTTCTCCCTGAGGATACAAGTTCAGTTCCCAGCATCCCCATGGCTGCTAATAAGTTATCTGTACCTTCAGTTCCCTGGGGATCCAGTACCTTCTTGTTTGTCCTCCATGGGGATCAGACACACAGATGGTGTGCAGATATCTAAGCAAGCAAAATATTCATATACACAAAATAAAAATTTGCAAAAAGAATAAAACACATGCATTTTTCAGTTGGCTTTTTAAAGATTATTTGAAAGAAGGAAACGGCATATTAGTCAAAAATCCCTGTGGTTAGCATAATGAACCAGTATTAAATTAGTCTTTTCTCATTCATGATTGAGTTTGTATTAGGACTGAGGAGATGGCTCATGGCTAAAAGCACCTGCAAAGGACCATCTCACTGGCTGTGGTGTGCCAGAGGAGGCCAGAAGATAAACTTGGTACCCTATGCCACACACCAGAGCTATGTTTACAGCTCTGTGAAGTCAGTTCTCCTATCTCTACCCTCTGAGCCATCCCACCATCCTTCATCAGTGACTTTTAACATGACTTGTATGATGTTTAAATGGTAATAAATTAAAACTAGGAAACAGTTGTTTAAGAGATCGGAAGTAGATTAATGGTAAGTAATGTCTAAGAATTGAAACACTGAATGTGTTGGGGAAATGTTAATCACCCGTGGAAGTCTCAGAAATCTAACTAAACCCCGTTTCGAGGTGCGTGTCTGTAGTCTAGCACTTAGGAGGCTAAAGGCTCAGGAACTCAAGGTCACCCTTGGGCTTTCTAGCAAGTTGGGAGCCAGACTGCTATGTAAGACTGAAAAATCAATCCATTAATTAATAATTGCTAATATTCTTGAGTGATAGTACTACATCAGGAGAGGAAATAGAGACCAAGAGTGGAGTTTGTAAAAGTTGTTAGAAGTGTACTAGACCACAGGTTTTTCTGGTTAGCTTCATTAAATTCATCTTTACTTCTCTCAGCCTCAGTTCGCTAAATTCTATTCGTACTCAGTTGCCCAAACTGCCTCATTTCAAACTAGCTATGAAATAGTTCTCCCTTATTTCTTCAGTGATCTGTTAGAATTACAGGTGCCCTGGAGCCTGGCAAGGACCTCTGAACATAGAGGGTAACACAGGAGGGAAACTTCAGGGCAGAGCAACACCCTTTTTATATAAAGGAAATTCTAAATGAGAAAGCCATTTAAAGACTCCATGTTTACAATCAGATCTAAATGATATCTGAGGTTTTTATCATCTTGAAATTGCAGTTTTATATTACTAAAACTTTCATTTTGTTGTGCTATTTGGGGGTGGGTGGCATAGGGTACCAAGTTTATCTCTAGATACTTGCTGTCCTGACCACTTTGCATCTGGGTTCCCCACTCAAACTTTTGAAGCAGTGAGGGATTCCCAAATTGAGCGAGCATCATTGTTACCTGTAGGAACATCCATTATTCTTAGGTGTAGCATAAGACATAAGCCACTGGCATCAGGTATTGAGTAGTCTTTGCTTGCTATAAATCTGATTGGACGTAGAGAGCACTTGATTACTTTTGGCTTGCCTCCCTTCCCAGCATTCTAGGTGATCTTACAATGTTTAAATTCTCCTTAAAGCCATTAGTCAGCTTTCCTTGGCCTGCAACAGAGGCAACACCCAGTCCGGTCTGCATGGTACTCTCCTACTTAGAAATCTTAGGACATTCTTTTTTAAGAGTAAACTGCTAAGAACCACTGGATTTGTGTAAACTGTGGCTCAGAACTACATGGCTACTTGTTGAATCAAAAGTAACAGGAATTTCTGTGTCAAGTTCAATTTCTTGACAGTGCACATGCCAGTTTGACAATTAAAGACGTTCTTGGTTCACCGGAGGACTTTCGAGAACTGCCACTGTCTTAGTTAGGCTTTCTATTGTTGTGATAAGACACTATAACCAAAAGCAACTTGGGGAGGACAGGGTTTATCTTATACTTTAGCTAACATTTTATCACTTATAGAAGGCAAGAACTGATGCTGATGACTTGTTTAGCCTGTCATAAGACACAGGACCACCAGCCCAGGGGTGGCACCACCACAGTGGTCTGGGCCCTCCCACATCAATCACTAATTTTACAAATGCACTACAAACCAATCTTATGGAGGCATTTTCTCAATTGAGGTTCCCTCTTACCACATGACTAGCTTGTGTCAAGATGACACAAACCAGTATATCCACTAATAACTAAAGGCATTCAGTTTCTACTTACTGATCTCATGAAAGAGCTGGTGCAAGAAAATCAGTAATGGTCATGGAGAGATTGGCCTTGGGAGTATTAAATGACTTCCAGTTCATGAAGTATCTGTGGGATGGATGAAGAAGTGAAGAACCTCAGAAGCAGAATTGGGACTGAATGTCTTCTAAAAGTGTGTGAGTAGCTACCCAACAAAATGACTGAGCCACTCTTCTGGTGACTGGTTAATACAGGAATTAGCTACATCTCCTATGGCAGTGGTAAATTATCCTTCCTTTCAAAAGCAACTCAAGAAAGGAAGGGTTTATTGCACTTTACAGTGTGAGAGGATACAGTCCACTGTGGTGAGGAAATCACGAAGGCAGGAGGTTGAGGAATCAGGTCACGTTGCACTCACAGTCAAGAAGCAGGCTGCGATAATTTCTGTATGCAGCACTCTCCTTTCATCAAAGAATTATGTCACAATGCTAGAGATGTAGGTCAGTGGCAGAATACTTAGCATGCACAGGACACTGGGTTCAATAAAAGAGTGTAGAGTTTGGCAGGGATTAAGTCCAGGACTTAAGCCCAAGGAATGGTGACCCCCTCCTGTAGGGTGTGTCTTCCCGCCTCAGTTAACCTGGTCTGGGTAAACCCTCACAGTTGTGCACAGGGAACTGCATATCCCGTCATGTTGACAACCAATAGTATCCATCACACTACTTATTTCCACATGGCTTCTCCACTCCAGCTCCCCTGACTACCTTGGGCCTCTGGGAACTGATACTTTGCCTCCCATTTCTCCTCTAAATTGGTGGTTCTCTTAATTTCAAGTTTCATCAAAGTGGGACCTCATCCCCAGCATTTCCTGATCAGTTGAGAAACTCGAGATTTTTTTTTTCACCTATCAAATTCCCAGGTGAAACTGACGTCCCACAGTACTTCATACGGATAGATGCTTTCCACTGTCCCAGAGTTCTCTTTCCAAAGAAATGTGAAAATGCTGCTTTTTAGCTCGGAGGTCTTTGAGAAAGATTTCAATTGCCTGTAGATTAAAAGCTGATACCCTTAGGCTTGATCATGGGAAGCCTTCATCTGACATCCATGTGTTTTCCATTTCAATTATTTCATCAAATGGTTAGGTCATGATGATGGAGATGTAGGCCAGTGGCAGAATACTCGCTCAGCATGCACAGGACCCCTGGATTCAATCCCCAGTAAAGGAATGTGGAATTTGTCAGGCTGGATGTAGAGAGAGCTTGAACTGGGAGTCCAGAATGCTATAATCTCAGAGCCAACCCTCCGTGCTGGACTTCTTCCAACAACGCTCTGCCTCCTAAAGGTTCCACAACTTGCCCTAAACAGAGCAAAGGAGATTGAGTGTTCAAACACCTGAGTCTCTGATTCTTGCCACGTAAAGTATTTTTGTATATATATATAATTTAAGTCAAGTTAAACTGATTAAATTGAGCTCCACTGGAACAAATCTGAAATTTGATACATCTGTCTCTCAAAAAGAAAATTTACAAAAACCCTTATGCAACAGATGAAATTTCAAGTGTGGGATTAGAAAAAATAAATAAAGCTACTGCAAATACCATATGGGAAAAATGAGAGTTCTTTAGTTTATTCTTTCTTTGCAGATTGATTTCTTTTTATATGTATGAGTGTTTGCTTGTGTGTACCACATTGTGCCTAGTGCCCACAGAGAACAGAAGAGAGCACCGGATCCCTTGGAACTTGGACAGTCGTGAGCCACCATATGGGTGCTGAGAACTGAACTCAGCTCTTCTGCAAGAGCAGCAACAACTGCTCTTCTGAGCCATCTCTCCAGCCCGTATTTTTTTTTTCATGGAATGTGCTTGTGTCTTTGTTCATGTGTATACGTATGGGTGTGGGGATGCACATGGAGGCCAGAGGTCGGCCTTGGGTGTTTTCCTCAGTTGATGTCTTCCTTCACACCTTGTTTTTTGAGACAGCATCTCTCACTGAGCCTGGAGCTCACAGCTTGGCTCGACTTAACGGCTAGCCATGTGGATTTAACCTGTCTCAACCTCCTCAGTATTAAGACTGCAGGCTCGTGCCACCAGACCCTGGATTTTATATGGGAGGCTAGGTAGACAAAATCAGCTCAGCCAACACTTTACCAACTAAGCCATGTTGCCAACCTAATTTTCTCTCCCTCTCTCTGCCTCTCTCACGCTCTCACACTCTCTCTCTCTCTCTCTCTCTCTCTCTCTCTCTCTCTCTCTCTCTCTTTCCCTCTATGTGTGTCTTTGTCTCTCTGTGTGTCTCTCTGTCTCTCTCTGTGTCTCTCTCCCTTCCCCTCTCTGTTTCACACATGTTTCATTTG